CATCATACTATCGGCCTGCTATCATCTAGGCCGATTATTTGAAGATATAAGGATGTTATTTTTGATTTCGACCAGTGATAGAAACAAAAGAAATAACAAAAGTTAAAGAATAAATTTTATTTATTTGGCACAGGGATACTATCAATTAAATCCTGCAAGTTTTCTATTTCAGCTCTTAGAACACTCTGTTCCACCACCAAATTCGCATATTGAATGTTCCTTTTCCAGTTTCTTACCTGAACTGCTCCAATACAAAAGGTAGCAGACTCAACTTCATATTCCAAATCTTCCACCTGCTCTTCTAAATCAGCTACGTCGCTTTGTAAAACTGCCACTTCACTTCTCAATACCACCACTTGCACTCGCAATATCCAACTTCTCTAGCTAGTCTAATTAAATATTATATTTTTTTTTATAATTCAGCTGTCCTGTCACTTTTTATTGAGATTAAACTATACTAAGAAATTTACATTCTCTAATAATAGCTATAACTAATCCACTCATAAAGTGACGTACCCACACTTTCGCCAGATATGACTTGCCTCAATGGACTTAAAGCCTCTCTCCGGGCCCCTAACTTACTAGAGATTATCCTTTGGTCATAGGCTGGTGCTACACACCGTATCAAAGTTAACTTTCCTTTTTTCAACATGAAATACAAATACAAATATTTAGGGCAAAATAAAAATGGGAAAATACTACAGCGTCGAGTTCTGGTCCACCTAAACCAATAAAACCAAATAAAACAAATAACGAAAAAAAAGAAAACAAAGAAAAGAAACAAAGATAGCACTATTAAACCCATGCTGGATTAACAGCAGGGACAGTGCCCCATATGTAGATCGTCGTTTAACATTATACAATACATAAAAATTTTTTTTTATATACTTTTAAAGTACTTCGGACATCTTGTATTACTCGCTTGCGTAATAAGCTAAGTGCCGATACATTACTAAGTAAACTTGAAGCCTTCATATCGTAGAACACAATATCTGCTGAATCTCTCTGAATTTCACCGCGTTAACGTTATATTCAAAATGGAAAATGCTAAGAAATACTTCGAATGTAAGAAGTCTGGCCCATCAAAGTTTCGTCAGTTAAAAGACGAAACATGGAAGGAAATCCAAAGTAAAGGTTTGGTAAGAGAAGGGTGGAGTGAACGTATGATGCTTTGTAACCGTTGTTATATGAATCATGTGTCAAACCCTCTTAAAAGAGGAAACAAAGTTACTAATAAAGAATTTCTAGAAGCAACTGAAATAGATATTACAGAAACAAAAACAAAAGAAATAGATATATTTAATAATTTTGGACTCGTTGAAGCTATAAGATCTATGGCAAAAATTTTCTATAATAGAGAAGTTAAAGAAAAGCAAAAGCTTATTTATAATTTTGATGAATTACGAGAGTTACTTGAAAATCAAGATTCTAACTTGGGTTGTTTTTTTGAACAATTATATTTAGCAGCACGCCCATCAGATCGTAGCAGTCAAATCATGAAGCGTATAAAAAAAATTATGGTTTTTATTTGTTATCTTCTTGCTTCATTAAATAACACACAAATTAATGCTTTTAAGTCAGATCTTGCATTTTATTTAGATTCGGCAGGAACAAGTAACGAAGGCTTAAATACAATGGCAACTATCGGTATAGCTACGACGTCGAGAACAGTAAATAAAAAAAAGAAGAAGATATCAGAAACACATGAAGAATCTGTTAAAGATGATCTTATAGAGCATTTAAACGATGCTCTTATAGTTAATATTGATGATTACTATAACATCTATGTTCAACAACAACCTCGTACTACCGCTACCTCTTTACCAACTCATATGGCAACAATCGTGGCGAATCCATGCTTAACGTTAGCTATACCACGTAATCAAGTACTTAATCCTAAAATCGTGGATGGAGAATTAATCATAAGGAATATAGATAAGCGTTTCATCGTAAATCTTGGTGTTCCTTATTATAATTATATGAAAAATTGCATAAATAGAGAATATACTGACACTGAGTTATTAGAAAAACTTACTTTACATAGCTATGATGATAGATTAGTGGAAAAGAAAAGCAAGCGACATATTAAAAATTGTATCCTTTTTGATTTTGTTGAACGCAATTTAAAGGGAATTGAAGGGTATTTAGATTCACTTCAAACCATATACAAGCAGGAGCCAATGCCAGAATATTTATTCAAATTCGCGGTTCCCGTCATCGCAGACTGGTCTGGTCAATTCTATATCCGTAAAGCTATAGCGCAGAAAGTTCTTTTGGATAATCGAAATATTCCCAAATTTGTCACGGCATTTCTACCTATGATGGGTCCTCTTCATGTCTCATTGAATGCCCGCGAACTTGTTTTTAAGAAAAACTCGTGCTTGTTTAATGATATTTATAAAAGCATATTTGGAATTCGTAAGAATCTTGGTAAGAAACCACGGCCATGGAGAATTGATTTAATTCTCTATATAGTTCATTTGGCGTGGTTTGAAATAGCTGATTTTATTTATTCAAAATTCGGTTATGCATGCAAAAATTTAGAATTTTTATATTTAACTAACCTTTTTAATAATTTAGTTCCTTTAGTTTTAGACGTATACGCGATACATCATCGAGAAGGAAACTTGCTAGCCTATGAGGAGGCTTGCATACGTTGTTGGAGTGATCTTTTTTTACAGTTTGATAGAAAAAATTATAAGCGCGCGCCTTTGATGTTCTTTTCAGATATTTTTTATTGGATAGAAACCAATCATCCAATATTTAATTTTATTATTAACCATCTCGCTTCTTTAAGTGATTCTCCTGTGGAAATATTTCACAGCATTATTAGGTGGTGTACTTCTAAATCTTCGACGGGTGAACAATTACGAATTGCTGTGCATACTACTTACCAACAACGCCATGATAATGATTTTCAACAACAATTCGTGCGGTCTGAAAAGTATCCTTATTCACCAAAACAATTGCGTATGCTTTCCCAAAAATGCGCTATATATCTTTTAGAGCTTTTTACTAAAATATATCATACATACGATATAAGCTCATTTATTGTTAGTTCTTCTAATAATATTGATACATATAAATTATCATCATTAGATTATGAAATCACGGATCGCCATCTTCCAAGAGGCTTTGTAACATCAAGAAAACCTAGTATTTTTGCCTTATATGACTCAATTCATTGCAATACACCTTACGATTTATCTAACGGTAGTGTCCTAGCATGCGGACACGGTTACCATAGTCATTGCTTACAAAATCAGCAATTTAAATGTTTTATTTGTTTTGATTATTTACAAAATGAAATTAGAAAAAATACTGATGCTTTACTAAAAAGTTTAACAAAAGATTTAGGCGAAAACTTACCTAAAGAAGACATCGAAGAAGACAAGAATGACAATGAAGATTTAAACGAAATTCATGAAATATCTGATGAAGAAACGGTTGAATGTCAATTTGAAAATGCAAAAAAGTTATTTTTTGAAATGCATAAAATTAATATAATAAATAAATAAATAAATAAAACAATAAATTAATGAATAAATTTTAAAAATTAAAGTAAAAAAATTAGTTGATCTAAACCTGAAGTTGCAGTTCGCTATTGATGATGAGTACGGCATGATACATAATGAAAATCACGGCATAATATATCACCAGCTTACATAAATAGTAGTATAAAAATTGATCTACATTTATTCGTCACATGGGTAGTTCATATTGCGATTTACGAAATTGTTGACTCAGGGTAGCCAATCATTTGACTGTCCCTGCTGTTATATATGGGTAAATGTTCATCTTTTAATTCTGTAATTAGTTAATGAATGCAGATTTTCATTAATAAAATTCCCAACAAAAAATGTAAATCTGTAAATACGATTTCTTCAACAATTATTGAAATTTTAACGATAAAAAACATGTATCGTGACATGATCGAAGTCTGACAATGTTGTGGTCGCAAAAATAATTTTGGTCAATTAGTGGAAGTGACACATAAATAGGCGCAACGTTCAGTAAATACCTTTTTAGCTCAATTCCTTGAAAGTAACATATTTATATCGTATCTCCGAATTGAGTTAGTCAAATTAAATTTAGGATTCAATTTCCTTATATGTGATGATTAAAATTCGTAATAAGGAATTTTCATTATGAAAACGGGAAATTACGTTACGTATTTCTATTAAGGTTAGCGTTGTTCTACAAATAAAAGCAGGTTATTTTAAGTCTGGCCGGCGCAGGGGGAGGAGAATTTCTAAATCGGATTTAAATAACGGAATTTATTAATTCCTCTCATTCCAGATTTCGGGAATAGTTTCCATACGCAAGTTCTACGAAATATTTTATCTTATGATTGTCAATTAAAAAATATTTGGACGTTTTATAATTTTATCTCATGCGACCTTTATCAATCATATGTATGTTCTATCAATCACCTTATCGCCATCATTGAACATTAGCGCATAATCATAAAGGTATGAAGCGCTGGACCTCTTTATTAATATTAACTATCCTCGTAATAATATCCATAAATATATGTGTCATACAATCAACTCGTTGCTTTCGGTATCGAAATCCACGCAAACGAAACATTGTTGTTGGAACGAATTGTGATGATCCAAAACTTGATGATCGAGATCTCGTAAAGAGATTTTTCGGAAGACCATCAAAAAGTAAGGCTAGAGGAAGTCATGAGCACAGACCACCACTAACACATCCTATCAATAACATCAATAATTCAGACTCAAATTACACGAATGATAATACCAACTCTTTGGCAAGTAATATGGAATATCCATCGAGTAATGCAAAGAACTTCATATTTAGTATATCATGTCAATCAAGTGATCCAACACTTTGTGGAAAAGTCGTCCAAGCATTTTTAGATGCAGGAAGCATTTTATCTTCAGTTTTATTCTTGAGATCGTCAATTGTTGTCAACATTAGTGCTTATGACTTTTGTGCGGACGACCCACTTTGCAATGGGGATTACTCATATGACCCAGGTAAGCATTAACTTTTTTTTCGTTTCAATTAAGCTATAAAAAAAATGCAAAAAGATTTATTTTACCAATTCTGACATTTTGATTAAAGGATACGCACAACCAACGTTATTGTATCTATTAAAAGACGATGATGGTGCAGAAAGGCTTTATCCTCAATCGTTGGTCAAACAATTTAATTTTTCGTCTAATCCTGAATATAGATATCCGGATATCTATGGCGAATTCAACCTTGGTCTTAGTTATTGGTTCAAAGATGATCCACCGATTAAATATAATCAATATGATTTTCTGGGTTTGATTCTCCATGAATTGTGTCATGGATTAGGTTTTCAAACGTCGTGGAGCATGTGGTCACCCGATGATTCATCACAATATATCACTCCTATGTTGATAACAGAAGAGGACTACGAATTTTTATGGGAAGATAATTATGATGCTAATAAACGTGTTACTTGGATAGGATTTAGAGAAAATATATTTGATAAATATTTGGTATTCGTTGAAACAGGAACATACGTTTCGAATATGACAGCGATATTAAATGAGTTTTTTAGTGATGGTGCTCTTAAAGGAAGCTATTATGATTTTCAACAAAAGTTTATGTCATCGCAACAGTATGATATAGCCAAAGAGATGATGGTTATATCAACACAACCACAAACTCTTGGGTTAGTTAATTGGAACTTAACTTCTCACCATAACACTAGTAAACAAGGGGCATTTAATATAAGTGACTTGTTTGTGGTCGACACTACATCAAATGTATTCGATCCGTATAACAGTATAAATCATGTGGACTATACGATATATACTAATACTAGTGACTTCTTGATGAGATATCAATTATTTCCAGGAGAGACACTAAGCGGCGATATTAAGCTTGGAGGCAAATTCCCAAAAGGACAACTTGTTGGTGCTATTGGACCAAGGCTAAAGAGGTTCTTTGAAACATTGGGGTAAGATAATTTGCCAAACTTATCTTTTGAGTATCAAAAGAATTGTCAAAATAATTAATATATACTTATTTATTCTCATTTTAGATATGGAACATACAGCAGACCAAACCATTCCTATGTGCCGAAACTAAGTCTAGTTCCTCTTCCTCTTAATAGTTCGGGTAGTTCGTTGTCTCCTTCTTTAGTTTTAGTCTTTCAACATATAATATGGATACTTTTTTTATATATAATAAAAGTGTATTAATAAGTTTAGAACATACACATTTTAACCAGTGTTGTTTATTGTAAACTTTTAATTGGAATTGGAATTAACATCATCAGAAGCTCTATATTAATCGCCGAAATCTAAGTAATCTCTAATAAGTGGCCGTGGAAATTCATTTGCTCGTCAAAATTCACCGAAATTCTCGAAATATAAATTCGGTCTATTTTATGTGCGATTTTTTTAAATTTTTGGGCCTTTTTCGTTGGCCTTTTTTTTTAGAGTTAAGTTAGGATTTACTATACGGTTAGAGTTGTTAATAACAGAGTATAGGTTGACTTTAGAAGTCTTGTAGACCCCAAATTTCTGTATCATCCGACTTCAACATCATACTCGATGATAATAATTTAATAAAAATTTGTCAAAATTCGTCGCAATCATTTTTTGCAACTAACATCAGAAAGCCTTAATATTCTTAATGATTAACTAATGGAAAGCATTGAAATTAGAATTTACTAGAAGGCAATCTTCAATCAACCATGTTTAACAAAAGGCACTGACTGAAAGATTCGGGACTAATATAAAATACCTAGTCGGTTATTTAAATGGGAATATTTTAGTCAATGCAATACGGTAATTTGTAAGGATGACGCTATATATTCGTTTATCTGGTCGATAATACTGTACCTCATAGGTGTCTTTTATAGCAGTTGATGCCGAGAATCGAACCAATTTAATATTGCAATTTTTCAGTTTTTTTTTTTTTTTAGGTTAGAATTTAGGATTTTACTAAATCTTAGCTGATACTGTAATTAATTTTGGGCCAATCTCCGTATTACATAATCTTTGTGGTTCATACGCATCTTTAACATATTTATCGTTATCCAGGAATCAACAATAATATTATGGCGTAAACTTTTTTTTATTACATATTCAAACCATAAATCCACAAAATAACGACCATGAACGTTATTTCGGAACGGATTCTTTGAGAATGACATTCTTAATTTCAAAATAACGTCTCGAAATAACGCGCACCTAATAAGTTACATGTAGTGATCTAAGTCGGCAGCACATTAGTCGACTTTGTCGATTTTTTCAAAATCCGGTCATAATAATCTAAAATGTATTTGAATGCATTAAAAAGTCAATATTGCTATATTATTTAATAATCTTAAAATGATCAGATAAAAATCTTTATCGGGCAGCTTACTATGATTTATCTGCCCAATAATTTTATTATTGGGCAGAAAAAAAAGTTTAAAATAGTTTAAAATAGTTAAACTATCGTTTCTACCCAATAATAAATTATTAGGCAGAAAATTATAGTAAGCCACCCGATAAATCCGTTATCAGGCATGCTGATACTGACTTATAACTTAATTATTTGGTCAAGGATTTTAAGATCAGCCTAAGAAATTGAATTCCTTCGGAATTCAATTTCTTAGTCTGATCTTAAATCCTCGACCAAATAAACCAGTTATCAGGCAGTGCCTGCCTGATAACTATTTATTATTGCTTTAAATACATAAGATGTCTCAACAATGTAAAAAAGCTTTAGATAGTAAAAATTTACGTGTTTACCATTTAAAGAACAAAGCATAAATACGTAGAACGTATTTGATTTAATGAATGTCGAAGTATTACTAATAAAAGAACTTTTGAATAAAAATTAGGTTGCTGCGCGACATCGTCATACTAAGACAAACGCTAAGATCCAATCTTTGGGCAGTACAGTACATGCGATCACTATATTAGAGGATATATTTCCACACCCCATATATAAGTATTTTTAACTTTGATTAAAAGCATCTCGATACATTTAACCAAATTCTATGTTTTTTTTTTATTTAAATTCTACAGATCCACAGAATTCAAATAAAAAAAATTCATAAAATTTGATTAAATAGTTGTCAAGGTACCTTCGAAAATTTTGCCGCAGCTAATATTTTGATAAACGTTAAATTTTTTTTAAAACTTCGATCGAAGGTAACTCGACAACCATTTTACCAAATTAGTTATTTGAATTCCGCGGAATTGTAAAATTCAAATAAATAAAATTCATCGAATGTTTGATGGTTGCCGAGTTACCTTTGCTTAAACTTCTATTAAATTATTAGCCGTGGAAAAATGGTCATAACCTTGATCGAAGGTATCTCGACAACCATCCAACCAAATTTGATGAATTTTTTTTTTTGATTTGAATTCTACTGATTCGTAGAATTCAAATAAAAAAAAATTTCATCGAGTTTAGTTGAGTGGTTGCCGAAATACCTTCGATCTGATTTACATGGGGTGTGGAAATATCAAAAAGGGTGTGGAAATATCAGGACCCTAATTATATTGTCCATTTTTGCAATCATGACTACATTCCTGGCATCAGTATCTAATTTTTGCATGATTACTACTAAGCCGGCTAAGCGTTTTTTATTTTATCGACTTGGTCGATATTTAAGGACCAACTACAAACACTAGTTACATGGGTAAATTGTTAAAATTTTTAATACACAGGTACTCAACCTAATTCTCAGACGTGCGATTTTACAATATACAGAAATGTAGCATAATCTTTTCTTATATTTAATCAAAAAGTTTATAATTAACCACCCTTTTGTCTCGGGTCGCGAATATTTATGTATATCGCTTCCTTATAACAGGAATACAAATCAATCTTTTTCATCCAACTTAAACTATTGCTATTGTAATAGTTGTGTGACATAATTACCATTATAAACTTTACAAAAAGAAAAAAAAAGTATGCTCAACCAATCGAAAAGTCAAATAATACATTACAAATTTAATTTTCAATGCAATGATATGAATTTAATGTTATTAATACTCGACATCTACGGTAACTTTAATAACATTTTCACTAGCTGCAAGGCTAAATCCATCATTGATATCTTGTAATTTTACCTCTTTTGAAATCATATTTTCACCCAAAATTTTGGTAACGTCTTCGTTTGAAGATAACATTTCTAGAGAATTTGAAAGGTTACCACATCTAGTGGACCAAATCTGAATATTATCTTCTTGAAGTACTTTCTTAAGTAGATTCATTTCGTTTGATGTTTTATCTTCCTTTATTGACAAAGGTGGTGCGTACAGAATGGCTCCGCGGGGACGCAGGATCGAAAATTCCTTAAATTATAAATAATACGGAAATAAGAATGTTTATTTATTTATTTTATTATTTTATTTATTTACTTATTTATATGTCTTTTTAGAAAAGTTGTAGATGGCAGTCGATCATAATGTGCATAGGCTTACCTCGTTATTAACGGGTCTTATAATAGAATCAATTTCCTCAATTTTACTCACAACAGCTAAATCGAACCTTGGTACCGGTGACTTCGTCAAGTTTTCATCTTCAACTTTTCCTTTTCTTGACTGTTCGATCCATTGCTTAACATAATCTACGGCGCGTGCTACTTCCAGAACGATAACGTTCCTTCCAGTATCTTTAATCAATTCAACAACGCTTTCATCAACAGATGGACTAACAAAAATATTAGAATTCTCTCTCTTGTCTACAATTTCTCCAGGCCAACTGAACTCCAAATTCTTTTGTTCAAATCTTAGCAGTGAGAATTCTTCAACCACAAAATCTGACATTCGTCTCAGTCCACAAACTTCTCGTCCATGAGTTGATTTCAAATGAAGAATGTTTTTACATAACTTTATCGCGTGTAAGAAACCTTCTGGAGAACCCGTTGTGTCAAAGACAATATCAAATTTTTGGTCTGGAAGCAAAGATGA